ATATATATATATATATATATATATATATATATATAGATGAATCTTCTAAGGAAAACCGGAAAGAGAAGTTGTTACGTAAAAAAGTGCTAGCAGATGCTTCAACGTCGACATTACACACATATATATATGGTGGATATATACATGAAAATTGAGTTCATTTATACGACAGTATGGTACTGTATAATAAAACGACAACGACGACTACGACGACGAATACGATGGATAAGCATGCGAAAAACTTGAATGTAGGAACATGATGCTCCCAATTCCCAGATGCATAATGTGCTTCTTCCAATTCTACGTGCCGTTTTATGAACGATGGAATGTGGTACGAAACAAAGACGCGTTCCACTTTGTAAAATGCGACGTCGTATATGTATACGTTTTCACGGTGCATCCATCCATCTTATATGCACATATACACATATATGTTACACTTTTTAATACAGTCAACGAAAGGGGGTGAAAAGAAAAATAACGTTTTCATAAAAGTACGCCAGAGGAAAGAGACTAAAAATTTATCTTCCTTTACATTTTGTTCATTATACACATATATCTATATATCCCATAGATAATTAACATTTATTTTCTACCATATAAATTTTCATAATAGCATGGAAAAATTAAATATATTACTTAAGGAGTACTTTTTTAGTACCCTTGAGTAAAAATGTACAAATTTAATGTCATGTTTTTCAGTTACCTGTTAGGTACTTTTTTTTTGTTTTTTACATACATCTACAAATTTGAAATACTAAATTTCGTATATTAGAACCTTTTTAAAAATCTTCTCACAACGTATTTTTAAGTAGCCACGCGACGCCAAACGCCATTGGATGCATTACAGCGTGACGGATATCCGGCGATTCGCGTGCGACCCTCCGATCTTTAAACTAAGGATATTAGATATTAGATTCCACGCATTTAACACCGCTCGAACATTTTTTTTTATCCTACCCCCTTTTGTTTCTACAAATATCACAACTTTTAATCTAAAACAAAAGATAAATTTGTAATTATCTTTTTCTCGACAGTAAGTTTTGTGAAAGTTTTCTTTTTTTGTTTTTCCCTTTCTTTCTTACATGTGAAAGATCATAAAAAAGTCTTATAATATTCGCGTGTAGTTATTTTCTTTCAAATATATACAACGTTAGATACACGTGAGCTATTTTTTTATTCGTTAACTTTGGATCTCTGGTTGGAAAAGTAGTTGGTTTTAATTATTCTAGTTGCGCGTGATGTTCTAGTAGATGACCACGAGAATGATTAAATTACAGTCATCTCTTTGTGCGTGTAATACCCTCTTGCTTTTAACAGTAGTAACAAGTAAGTCGAGATAAATCGTGCAAGTACGAAGGTCGTGCTTAGTACGAAACGGTTTCTAAAATCTAATAATATACATATATATACGTTCAAACCTGTTAGAAGTATCTACAATTATGTTAATGTATTGCATACATTAATATCAACATAACTGCCTTTTACATATAATTAAAAAACTATCATGATACGTTTAATTTAACAAACTGTTTTAAGTAATTAATACAAAAAAGAAATGGATTAAGATCGTAAAGAAACAATAAAAAAAGACAAAATATCCGACATGGGATCTCATAAATTATTGAAGTAATCGTCCTATTGTTCTAACATAAAATTAGGTCAGTCTTCGTTGTAAGTGCTTCTTATGTTTTTCTTTTTTTTTATTGTTTTCTTTTTCTCTAGAGTTTGCACAGAAAAGGACCTCATTAAACGTCGTCTAAAACCCTTTTCTCATTCTTAACGTATCGTGTTAGCTGAGAATCTTAACGGTAAGAGTACGCACGTATATGACCTTAATATTTTTCCTCAAATTGACTTAATACCAAGAATATGCTAATTAGATGTATTCTTTCGCTTGTTTCACAAAATGACGTTAATGAATCACGTATTTCTCTCTGTCTGTCTCTCAATACCTTTAACACTTGTAATTTTCTTAAAAAGGATGTAGGTGAAGGGGTGCAAAGAAAGTCAACAAAGTGACCTACTTAACTCGTTAGCACATGTGAAATAACTAATAACAAAAGGACGTATAATTTTTGACTTAATTATATCTTTGAATGCATGCAACAATTTGATACGAGAGAAAAATCATTTTCTAAAATATATTAACTTTATAAAGTTTTTCTTAAGAACCATACATGAAAATATTGATTCTTTTGTTTTTTGGATAATTATAATAATCAGGAAAATTTGTAATACATTCTAAAGATAATTTTTTATTGAATTATAATATTAATTATAATAAAATAGGAATATAAACCCTACAACTAAATGTAACCATAGTAGAACCTTGACATAATTTTATCCCTACTATTATATAAATACTGATCATGTATTTAAATTACTGAAAAATTATTTTTTATATACTGAATGAAATATTAACCAAAAAAGAAAAACAAGTAAAAATTAAAATAGTACGTATCAAGTTTTTGCATACACCAGTTCGATTATTCTAAACCTATTTTTCTCTGTCTCTTTCAATTTTAACAAATTTACTTTGAAGTCACGATCATGCTAGGGGAACGAATTCAAATCCTTTTGTGATCATTTAACTATCATGTTCGGATTAAAAGAGTATAAAATGAATCTTTTTCCAAAAGGAAGTTTTATGTTACTTCTATTAATACGATTCATTTGAAACTATTCATTTTCTTTACTTACAATTAGAGAACAGTGGATTTTTCGTGTTCGAGAGAATAGACAAGTTTTTGGTGAAAGGACGAATAAAATTTAGATTAAGAATGGAACATTTTCGATTTAAGAATCTCCAAGATTCTTTATAAACACTCTCCCCCTTCCTCTTCTACTCCTACTCTTCAATCTCACGCCAAAAAGGTGTAAGATAACGAAACTCGTTTACGAACCGGTATTTTTCGTTGGAGTGGTGCACACAAAACAAGACAACCCAGGTGCCGTCGTTCCTTCAGTTTCTTAGAATAACTGGTTGAGATAATCGGACAAATTGCGTTACATTCATGCTTGTCAACTTCTCTGGTACATCGGTTAATCTCATCTTTCGAGCAAAACCACGTGCAGCATACTATAGATACACATACATCTATACATTATATGTATGCGTGTATCGGATTGGTTATCAATAAATGATATTGTGATATTTGTAATAGTTTATATTTAAATAACAATAACATTAGAATATATTTTTTATATTTAAATAAACAGCACAAAAAAATATATGTTTATTTAAAAATACTTTATTATTAATATTAATAATATATATAATAATAATAATAATAATAATAATAATAATAATAATAATAAAAATAATAATAATATAATAATATATATATATATATAATTATTATTATTCTTATATTACTTATTTTATTTATTATATTATTATTGTATTATTATTATTTATTATTGTATTATTTATTTATATATTGAAATAAATAATATACGAAATACTATATAGAGTATTTTGTTTATCGAAAGACTTTTAACATTTTACATTATAATAAATGACAAAAATAATATTTAGATTGAAAACTCCGTTATTTATTGACCAATCTAATAAACACGTGCCGTTACCTTAAGTTGCGATTTTGTCCTCGAAATTACCAAGGTCATTTCGCACCTCCACCGAGAATAAAACGATGAAAGCGAGAAAAGAAATTCTTTTGAACACGCATCATTATCGATTCAGATGGAACAAATGGAAGATTTCCTTATAATTCTTTTTCTTTTGCGATAAATATCAACTTCAAATTAATCTTTGAAATTTTAATCCAAAGTCCGGTATATTTGTTTAATTTCTGATAAATTATTTAGAAAAAAAAAAGTTAGGACGAAAAATGTCAATTGATTTGAAAATAGTATTTGAAATATTGATCGTGCATAATATTATGCAGATTTTATCTATGATCAATGTGTGATAAGACTTTATTTGTATTATAGAAATGAAGGAACGTCTATTGTACATTTTACGTTAGTTGATAGTGACATTTTGACGTTTCTACGAGCAATTCTTCTTCTTCTTCTTCTTCTTCTTCTTCTTCTTCTTCTTCTTCTTCTTCTTCCTTCTTCTACCCTCTAATTTAAAAGTCTAATAACTTATTGGAAAGACGTATAGTGAAAAGCGTTATAAAGAGAGAGTGTACGGTTTCGTACACATAAAAAGAAGCTGTGGGTTACGTTCAATCTTTAGTTCCTTATCGATGATCGTTCAACTTTCCACATCATATACTCGTATATACATACATGTATACGTATGAACATAAGATGTGAGCTTTAGTTTATCTAAGATGACATTGATTTTCTTTGAGAATGTTATCAGAATTTTGATATTTGGCCAAAGTCTTTTAAGCAGAACATCCTAAGTTTATTCTATATATGTATATATATATGTATGATTAGGTTGTAACAACGAACGCAAACAGGTGGCTAAAATAACGATTGAAAGAAATCACAGAATAAATCTTAATTTAAAAGATCTTTCCATAAAAATCATTTTCTTTTTTTATTATTTTCTAATATTCTTTCTAGAATTCATCTAGATTATTTTTTTATCAAGCGTTGATTCATCAGGAGTAGTCTGATTCATATATGCTATGAGGATATACCTCATCGTATTTCATTATCTTTGTTAAGGCATACTATTAATAGATGTTATATAATATATTTTTCTTTCTACATTTTTTTATTGTACGATTTTTAATTTATTATTAAGCCTAGACAATAAATACTATAATTCTTAATTATATTTTTATAGTATTGTCTTAGATAATTATTGAGGTATAAATAAATTAAAATTATATTTAAATATAAATATAATTTATATTAAAATATATAAAATTATATTAAATATTTATAATTAATATTTATATTTAATTATAAATATTTTGTTGGGGTATACTTAATCAAATAATCGATTACTGTTAATCATTCTTAATTCAATGATATCAAAGTAAAATTAAAACAATTGTCATTTTATTAAGGATAACATAAAAAGATTAAGTGTGTGTTAAAAATTGATATGATATCGGTATAAATGAAATAAAATCAATTTCTTACCAAAATATCGGACTGATCGAGTGTTGCGATGATGTTCGTGAAGGAGCTCCTGTCGGCAAACAACCAGATACCAACGGTCAATGCTGCTCCGCCAGCGACCTGCATAAAAGACATGCCCGATGTAAAAGATTTCGTTCTGCTTCGAAGAGCTCAAGGCCACTTGCGAGGAAAGGAGAAGCGAACATTCCTCTGGATATTTTCTACAAAATAACACGAAGCAAAAGAACTTCCTAATTCGCGTGCGGTTTTACGATCGTTTCGATTCTCCTATTCGTGTTGTTCTTATCTTCGAGGGATCACTTGCTTTTACATTGTTCCGAGTGCAGCTACATTTCCACATTGAGAATTCTACGAAAATTATATTCTTCGACGAGGGAAAAAAAAGAAAGAAATAATAATGTAAAAAGAGAAGTAATGCCGATGATTCGTTGGACTAGTCGAGGAAAATGTAAACTACGATATATATACCCATTATTTAATATCATGTAACTGTGAACCATTTTAAATTCTTGAGATATTATTTCATTCGATTGCTTGGAAACTTAATGTTTATTTAAAGAATATTTTCCATTATTTTTTATAATTATATATTCAGTATTATTGGTATACTATACTTTATATTGTTATACGTAGGTGAATTGAAAAGTTTGGAAAACTAATATAGAAACAATTCTTTTCGGTCAAGCTAATTTTTATTTAAAAAAAGAAAAAAAAATTAAAACGTTTCTTGTATTTGGAACTTAAAACTTTTAAATCTTCCTAACATATTTACACATTTATATTTTATATATAAAACGATACTCACAAAAAAGACAAAGTTGAAAAAGCACAAAAAGTACTTGGCACACTGTGAGGCGCAACCCATTTTTGAGATTTGGATTTTTAGAACTTCGTCTGTAAAAGAAGAAATAAAAAATATACAAACAAGCAAATATATATTATATACATTAATATATATATAATTACATAGGTACATATGTACATATACATAAGATTTATATATTACAGTATATATACACATATAAATATTTGTATTCGAAGTGATTAATTTTGCAAGAAAGATAGCGCCTTTATAATATCGCTATATTAAAGGAAATATATTTTTTGAAGAGACTGCCAACTATTTAAAAAAACTTCATCTCTTACTTAACATATATATATAAAAGTTCGTTAAGTATATAAAAGAAAAGATGCACCTGATGAACGCCTATCAAGCTTGGCGTAAGTCCAAGTGCCACTTATTTATTGCGTACTCGAAGCGGATACAACGTAGTAACCTAATAAGTTACACACCCACGTCCTCTCTTTTTATTATTCTCTCTCTCCCCCTTCCCTCCTTCACACACAATTTTTTTTAATTAATTTTACTTAAATATATTTATAAAGATTACGAAGCACGAATTTGAACAAACACATTACATCATGAACATAAAAAGATTTTCAACGACCTAATAATAAATGATTAACAATTGTGAATACTCTTGATAGATCTTTTGTTGTAATTAGATTGATCGATGAACGAAAAGAAAATAATAAAGTTTATAAAAATAGATAAACAAAAATCTTGACGTATTTTATAATTTGTTCATCGAACTAGCAAAGAAACGAATTTTATGATAAAACGAATTCTAATAGTTCTAAAAAAACAAAGTCATTAACAGTAGATATACCACCATTTTCAGTAGACCTATTTTTACCACACTAGTCAAAATTACTGGTGTATAAAACAATGCTTTTTTAAGCTTCCAGTCTTTATTTATTCTTAAAAAGTAATAAAAAATGTTTAACAATAATAATTTTAATAGATAAATGGATTTATAGACATTTTTAAATAACAAAACGCTTAATTACTTACAGAAATCAAATGTTACATGAAATAGAAATTTTGAATTAAAATGGCCCGACCAGTCAAAATGATTGGTCTGGTATATCTAGTATTAAACGTATTCATTGTAATGCAATAAAAAAAAAGTACATACTTAAGATTGTTCGATGATTTATATCATAAAAAAAAAATGCAATTTTAGTTTATGCAAAGATAGATGCTTGAGAACTGAACGTATCTCAGTCGTATCAACACAATTATAAAATTCCATCGTATTTATTGACAAATTAGTACTACTTCTGCATTCCGTGGATGCGAGAAACAAAGAAGAATAAATTGGTCAAATTGATGAATGCTGTCTGTTGCCAATGGGTTTCAAAGAAGACGTTGTGTTTCTCGAAAACGTATAATAACGTATTAATAAGAATTTATAAATATATGTATATGGATCGAGAAGGAAAAAAAGAGAGAGAAAAAAAGAGAGAGAAAATAAGAATTCTTCGTACCTTGTAAGATGTTATTTTTTGTTCCGAAAAGAATACAATAGTTCGTTATGAAGTGTTAGGCTAAATATCCATGATTAGATCATGAGAAATATTTTTGCAGGATTAAGATCTTGAATGGAAAACAAAACCGATTTCAACTTGCTCTTTCAAATTTATCTGCTATATGTAAATTAATCTTATGCATAATACATGAATTATGTGTGCTTAAAATGATATTACAAAAATTAACATTATTATAAAAATTACATATGTGTTACATATAATAATATAATAAAATATTTTGATATATTTATATAATAAAATATATTGATATATTTATTATAATATAAATAAAAATTATTATATAATATAATTTATTATATTATATATATATATATGTAATATAATACAATATAAGAGATACAATGGATAGGACACAAAAAGCGTAGTCTCAATTTTTAACACAACACAAAGCAAATAATACAATTTACATTTGCATAAAGATAATCTTTTTTTACAACTTACACTTTACAACACTCCAATCTCCAATTTACTTTTTATCGTAATCTGATCCTTCTATATATCTCCTACACACCGCTTGTATATTTATATCGCACAGTCATCTCGTTACACTAAAGAGTGTACGATTTACTTCTAAATTTTCAAATTAAAAAACACAGGTATATCTCAACCTTAATTCGAACTCTCTAACAATGAGATAAAACAAATATTTATTTATAATTTCGAAGTTCAGTTATTAACCTAGAATCTTTTAAATACCGCATTCTCTTACAATATGGAAGGCCCTGGATTGCTGAAAGATGAAAACAGTCGACCGGAATGCGGAAGACCCGGGTACGAGTTCCGACCCAGTCGGTTCAATGACCTAATTTTTTCACAAACATATTTTATATACATATAATATAATAATTATATACACATATAATTTATAATAATAATATTAAGCACAATAAGTCATATATTACATAATATTTGAAGTGACAAACATTATTATGACATCATAAACATGCAGATAAACCTAATAAATAATAACACAAGGTAATGTCAAGTGCAGGCCGAGAATTATCATTAGAATTAATTATAAAGATAAAGGAATAAGAATGTCGTTGTATAATAATGGATAAAACAATAATGTTACTTGAATATTGATTTCCAAGTGCGTAATAGTACGCGACGGTGATGTTGCTAATAGTAATCGGATAATATAAATGAAGAGCACACCGTAAAAGCTTTAACAACGTGCCTTGGCATGCTGCAATAAGACCTTGAATAACTGACATAAGTTTCCTGTAATAAATAGGCGTAAGCCCGATGCTTACCGACTTTTATCTTTTCTTCGATAGAATAAGAGATATTCAAATTAAAATCGTTCTTTTCGTTGTTACCAGTATTCAATTAGCAATCTTATTACGTCATTCATATTTCCATCATCAAGAGAATTATCAATCTAACACGTACGTATTAATGATCCTTGTTGCATGAGCATAGATGTTAGTTATATACGTTGATCAAATAACCTTCAGAAGAACTTTATAAAGAAATAATTGTTCATATTAAATAATGCTCTTTTAAAACCATTTTTGTACAGGTTTTGTTGTTCAAAACTCTATTCTCAAAAATACCGTATATATTACATTTACAATTATAGAATAATAGTATTTTATAATTTTGTATTGATAAGAAAATTAAGATGTAAAAAATATAGATATAGATATAAATGTAACGTGTATGCTTTTAAAGTTGCATGAAGTTAAAAAAAAAAAAGGTTGATTATAAAAACGTAACGTTTAGTTAGATTTATTGCTTTAAGAATAATGTTGAAAGGATCAAAAGACGTCATGAATGTTATGTAAATTCAGATAATATAATTTGTAATGACGGTTTTAAAGTACGGCATCGAAACCGTCACCCTGTAACATGTTTGGCAACTTTCAACGAAGTTTACGCAATAAGCTACTGTACGACTTTTGATTGGAACCTGTTGTACGCTTTAAAGAAATATGAAGTTTTACAAGTATCGAACGCGTAACGTATATAAATACTTATATATATAGATAAACATAAAAAGAAAGTTTGAGTATGGTCAATTTGAGAGAAGTCACTGAGATTTAAATCCCTTTCTCTTTTTCTTTCTTTTTTCTTTACTGTCAAAAAAAAAAGAAAGAGAAAATAATTTAACGCTACGCGATATCCATGATCTCACGGATTTCTCCGAGTTCATAGATTATTTACAATTACTAACTCTAATCTATCTAAGCAATTTACTGTTGTTGAATTTTAAAATTTTTTAGATACTTAGATCCATTTGCGATGAATATTGAACACAATTTTAATGTTAAAAGACAAATTGTCCGAGTAATAACTAACGATAAGTTAGAATCGTAAAATAAATTGTAGAGAGTAAATTTGTACTAGAACGATTCAGAAAAGAAATAAACAATGTCATTAACAAAGTGACTACAAATTTAGGATATGATTTCTGAAGTCATGTTGAATAGTTTTGCAACAGTTCGCACATGGAATTGTGCAAGGTAATATTTGTTAGATTCCACAAAAATAACAGTGTTCCATTACAATAACTTCCAATTTATATTCACAACTTCACAGCGTCCGAAGTACGCTTAATAAATGATTCTCTCCTTCCAATTTTCTTTTTTTTTTTTTTGATAAACCAGGTATAGCCAATAAATAATTGGAATTTGATTAAAGAATCTGGACAACTGATTTATGAATCTATCAAAACAGACACGAGATTGATAGAACTGCATTTAGATGAATTATAGATGAACCTAAAGCATCATCATCACTGTTTTAAAAAAAAAAAGTCAGTTTTCATCAATTCAAGAATATATCAGTAATCATGACCCTTTCTTCGTGAATCACCCAGTATATAAATACATTGTACTTTCTAGACGTTCATTAAATGATTCACCAAGAATACCGATAGAGGTAAGTTCCGAGGTATGTTACGTTAAAAGCACAGCTAGTAATGAAACCGAAAGAAAATAAAATAATAAGAGAGAAGAGACGATGAGAGAAAAAGAGAGAGAGAAATATGGAAGGTAAAAAAGAGCCGTAGGAAAACCTCGATTAGACGACCTAGTATCAGATATCCAGCTCACGGTTCTCATTACTCTACCAAGAATCCATCTGGCTATACTCCGACATCCCTGTAGCGAAACAGCACCAACTCCTCCAGCAAAAGCAGCAGCAAGAACAGTAAGAGGAAAGAATCGACACGGACTACCAGCTATCTGAAATATTCTACTTCGTTCTCGGAGCAGGCAGCAAGCCACACGATCGTTAACTGAACGAACGCGACCCGTTTCGGGAACCCGTTCTGTTCAACAACGGATCCTGGGGATTCGATCGAACGAATCTCAAATCCAAAATCTCTTTCTATTTTTTTTTTCAACTTTTATCTAACGCTTCGTTGGATCTTTCAATCAGTTGGACCTAATTGCTAGACGAAAACCTTTGAAAAAGTCAATACCTAAAACCCTCAATCAATTCTCTTTTATCCTTTTAACTCCAAAGTCAATAAACCTACATATTGAGTGTCCCCGAATAAGTGGAAAACGTTTTAGGGATGATTTCAATGTCCATGAATAATATGTGCTTTTTTTTGTTTTATTTTAGCGAATTTGTTAATACAATTATAATTTTGTTAGATTTTTGTATTAAATGTGTGCATTGACAATTGACAAAATTGAACAAAGCTTATCAAATAAATCTGAGCAAAATCTCAGAACATTTCTAGAAAATAATTTATGATTTATTCTATAGAACATCCCGTATTTTCCTGGATCAAAGAAAAAACTGCACTCAGCGGTGCATTGAAAATTAGATCACCGGACGATGCCGCTGGGCGAGAGTCGGGGTCACCGGGTCGATCTAGCTAGTTTCCTCTATCTTCCTTGTTCGTTTCATTGATTTTGATTGCTGGATACCAGCCAGGGAGAAAATCAAACTAACATTTTTATATATTAAATAAATAACTGTCTACGTCTGCGTGTGTGATTACTCTTCGTTGGAAATTAACGTCTCCTACGTTGATTCTTTTAACGTGAACATGCATATACCTATAGTTAGCATTTATAAAAGTGAAAGCAATATGAAAGCTTGACTATATGAAAGTAACACGATCACGACATTCACCAGTAATTTTTTATAATTATCTATGATAGTTGTTACTTACCAAATTGAAGATCCTATAGAACGAAAATATTCATTATACACAAATTATAAGACATAGAACACATCGTTGCATTCGAACTTAAGCGAAATAATTTGAGGATCGTTTAATTTGGTAATAACTCATTATTTTATTTAGAAAAATCCAAACAAGTCAAACAATAAACATAATGGATCACAGCGTGCTAAGTGGCTGCTGGATTATACCTCGAGAAAATTTGTGAAGCTTAGGAAATTTCTTAAAATAGTGCTGCACACATATTCACTTAACGTAGGAAAATAACTTCAGCTGTTACTCTACTTTAACACCTTAGGTAAGATTTTTTTTTAGTGGTTTAAATAGTATTAGATTTTTTTTTATTTACGAACTACTAAACGGTAATATTGATTCTTGTTTATAAGATGGAAATCATTGATAGTACGTAACTGTTAGATCAACTGTATCGTGTGTACCAGTTTTACATAAATTTCTCATTTTAGATTTTTTCCTTAAAACCTGATCACTCGAGCTAGTTTCATAAATAATGAAATAAAGAAAGAAATAGAAAAACGTATTAAGAGTTAAAATAAATGAAATAAAGTAATCAATCGATATATGTCTACTTTTTATATTATAATTCGTTCATTGTGATTTGTGAGAAGAAAAGAAAAGAAAAGAAAAGAAAAGAAAAGAAAAGAAAAGAAAAGAAAAGGGTCAGATAATTTATATCCTGTTGCTCTTTTCCGGATTTCACCGATGTGACGGAAACCAGTCGTTCATCCGTGTCATTACGTGACTCCAATAGATAAAAGTATTTACATTTAGTGGGTCAACTTTAATTAAGGACAACATTATAAAAATTTCAAATACAAATTGATAAATATGATTTCTATAATTACATTTGCATATATCCTTTACCCCTTACCTAAATAAATGCATAAATTGAATTTTTTTTTCTATAACAAAACAACGAATAGGAGAAACTTTTATAGATGGAATGAAAAAAATTAAAATAAGGATGAAATAAAAGAGATAGAAGAAAAAAAAAAGAACAATGTCGAAGAAGGGACATCGAAAATAATAGGTTTCCTCTGACGAGAATTTAGTAACATGGAGGAATCGAACATTGACCCTTCTTGGATGAACCTGACGCCTTTGATGTCGAACCCTTTTTGGTAAAAGCAACGAACACGATCAAAAGACCTTTTTTACTTTTTTGATTTTAATTAAAAAGCTCTAGCTTCTTGCGTGTTCTCTCGACTTAAGCAAAAAGAAAGAACAAAAAATCTTTCTAACTTGTAATCAAATAATATTGGATAAAAAAATTTATTATTTATTGAATCAATATTTTAATGATAAAATATAATTATTATAAATACTGATAATTTATTATTTATACTGAACAAAATATTTCAATATTCCCTAGTAGCACAAAATATTAAAAAATATTTAATACATGTAGATAAGATACAAAAAGACATTAAAAGTCTTTCTAATATTAAATACATATGTATTCAATATTTTTCAATATTTTGTGCTATTAGGGTTCCGAGCATTAATTGTACAAAAAATACTAACTAATTAAAAAATAGCAATCTACAAAATATTAATATAAAAATGAGACAATATTATCTAATTGTACTGTCTCAAGTTTTTATTAGATTTCTTGAAAACTATCGAGAAAGTGATTC